CTTGAACATCTGCATGAGTTCTCCCGATTTTCGATGAGGTTCATGTTACTCAATCTTTTGTTGTATGTGTATTGTTTTATGAGCTGCTGAACAGGATTAATTCCGTATTCTTTCTTTTGATCATAGTTTTCTTTCTTTATTTAAGGAATGACTGTAATATTTTTTCTGTCTATTAAGAAATAACATCAAAAATGTGGTGCACACTGAATAACCCGTGTAACGGGTTATTTTAAAGTGTGCACCACATTTTTTATGTAATTTCGAATAGACAGAAACAATATTACAGTCATTTCTTATAATTTAATTCTAAATTCCATTTTAAACCGGAGTAAACCATGAAATAACGTTGATGACGTCACGGTCACATGACAAAATTATGTCTATGAGCTGATAAACAAAACAACGTCAGCCAATCAGAAGACGCGTTACATCCAAAATTAAATTATAGACTTATTGTTTCTGATTGCCCCCTTGATATCTTCTCCACATTTTAAAATTTTAATCTGAACACATTGGCCTAATCTAACAGAAAAACTGCTCCAACAGACTTACGAGGAAGAAAGACTGGAATCGACACAATACATGTTTTATGATAACCATCGTTGTTTGACCGATATGATATGTCAGTGTCTCAACTCACTGCCGACATGGTTTTGCAGTCTTCAAACTTCAGATACAAGAATAGTCGCCTAATCTGTTATTTTACTGATATGCTCTGTTCCCTATTGTGACTGAGTGTTGATTCACATTTTGAGTGACGCATGCATAGCAAAAGATGCTTTTCCATTCGACGCAGCCCATTTTGCTCCATTTTGAGGGCATACGATTCCCGCAGTTTTTGTTTGATTTATCTTCTTAATCGATTTATCAGATTAACTACCGTTGCACATATGTTCACCTACCATACATACCCTTGCTATGGCAACTTCTTTTATGTAATTTAGTATATCAACGTAAAACTTTGAAAAATGCTAGTCCGTTAAATGTACAGGTCGATCTATCTTGTAACTTGGTACTAACATTTCATTTAAAAAAAAAACAAGAGGCCATTAGGAACAAGTTTCGCTCACTTTTAAAATGTATGCCCGTTGTCAAGAGCAATAACTCAAAACAGTGGCCCATAGACTAAGAGTTGTGTCTGACTACAGTAAGATACAATGTTGTGCAAAATGAAGTTTGTTGTGATTTTGAAAAACTGTGCAGATGGTACCCTTATAGGGAACCAGCAGTGGTACCGAACTAGCATATGACGTATCATATTTCCTCCTAAACACTTTTAATAGGTATTAGATCGAAAGAACCTAAAATGTGCCATATGGTTTGGCATAACCAGATTAAGCCTGGTTATATATATCAAGAAGCTATGACTTGTAGTAGACAAAATGTGTTACGGGCAGACAGACCATAAGTAAAGCCAACTCCGATGTTTCTGTGGGAAACATTTCTCAATTTAAAATGATTTCCAAAAATTTTACAACTTATTTTAATGTAACAACATTGGTATATACAAGCCACGCGGTGCATATCATATTTACTACTGGATGTTAAACAACCAAAATCAATCAATCGTATAACTTTTGCTGGTTTTCATTTTAAATGGTCCTACTTCATATCAGTATCAGTAACATACCAAACTGTTTAATGGTCATTAATACTAATGCAAATATAGAAATATATAGGTTAAATTAAACTTAGCCATCTAGAAATCATCAGTAACAGAGGTGATTGATTGATTGTTGGTTGCTTAACGTCCTAACAGTTGCAACTACATACTCCAAAAAACTTTTTCTAGAACAATTGAAATAAAATGCTCCGCTGGGCGCAGCTTGATACGACCGCAGAGGTCGAACCCTGAACTGTTGGGGCATGTATGGACACAACATTCAAGCTTGATACAGCACTGAATTTGGATTGTGATTAAATATTTGACACAGCATAGGTTTCTGACACAGAATGAATGTGGTCTAAGAACTTACAAATTTTTAATTTACCTATTCAAACAATATCATTATTATTTGCTTTTATATATAAATCAGAAATAACCAATTTAAAATGGAAAATTTTAAAGGAAAAAAAAAAGAAAAAAAGGGAAAAAAAATCCCCCCCCAAATTTTTTGAACCCCCTTATGATTCATCACCCCCAAACTCAATCCCAGCCTTCCCTTTGTGGTATGGTACCTTGCAGTACAATTTCAGAGGGATCCATACACTTGAACACAAGTTATTGTCTGGAAACTAGAAAAATGCTTGTTTTTTTTGCCCCTTTTTTGTCCCAAATTCCTAAACGTTTCGGGCAATTACCCTCAAACTCACACCCAGCTTTCCCTTTGTGACATGGAACCTTGTAATACAATTTCATAAAGATCCATACACTTACACACAAGTTATTGTCCTGAAACTAGAAAAATGCTTGTTTTTTGCCCCTTTTTGGCCCCTAATTCCTAAAATTTTGAGGCAATTACCCCCAAAAATCAATCCCAGCCTTCCCTTTGTGGTATGGTACCTTGCAGTACAATTTCAGAGAGATCCATACACTTGAACACAAGTAATTGTCTGGAAACTAGAAAAATGCTTATTTTTGGCCCCTTTTTCCTAAACGTTTTGGGCAATTACCCCAAAACTCAATTCCAGCTTTTCCTTTGTGATATGGAACCTTGTAGTACAATTTCAGAAAGATCCATAAACTTACACACAAGTTATTGTCATGAAACTAGAAAAATGCTTGTTTTTTGCCCCTTTTTTTGCCCCTAATTCCTAAAATTTTGAGGCAATTACCCCCAAAATCAATCCCAGCATTCCTTTTGTGATATGGAACCTTATGGTACAATGTCAGAGAGATCCATACATTAACACACAAGTTGTGTCTGGAAGTTACAAAAAATTGTTATTTTTTGCCCCTTTTTGGCCCCTAATTCCTTAACTGTTGGTACCATAACCCCCAAAATCAATGTCAACCTTCCTTTTGTGGTATTGAACCTTATGGTAAAATTTCATAGAAACCATTCACATAAACTAAAGTTAGAGTGCGAAAACCAATGTGTCTTCGGACGACGCCAACGTCATACCAATATAGCACTGCAAAATTTTTTTGCGGTCGTATAAAAAATGGGTAATGTGTCCATGGGACACAGATGATGCCCCCGCTTCCATATTACGATATAAAGGGACATACCTCAAGAACGCTAAAAGTGACGCTACCCAAATTCGTACTTGATCTGAGTTTTGTGGTAATAAGCATTGTGTATAAGTTTCATAACATTTAGATGAGGCAAACTTAAGTAAGAGAACGGAAACGAAAAAAATCAGCAATTTTTCCATTTGAAAAGGGGCATAACTCTAGAACGGTATAAGTGACGCCACCAAAATTCAAACTTGATCTGTGTTTTGTAGTAATAAGCATCGTGTTTACGATTCTTAACATTTGGTTATGGCAAACTTAAGAGAACGGAAACGAAAAATTCAGCAATTTTTCAATTTGAAAAGAGGCATAACTCTAGAACGGTATAAAATTCAAACTTGATATGTGTTTTGTAGTAATAAGCATTGTGTATACGATTCTTAACATTTGGTTCAGGCACACTTAAGTTAGAGAACGGAAACGAAAAATTCAGCAATTTTTCAATTTGTGTAAAGGGCATAACTCTAGAACAGTAAAAGTGACACCACCAAAATTCAATCTTGATCTGTATTTGGTGGTTTTAATCATTGTGTATATTTAAATAACATTTGGTAAAGACAAACTAAAGTTAGAGAACGGAAACGAAAAACACAGCAATACTTCTATTTGTAAAAGGGCATAACTCTAGAACGGTTAAAGTGACGCCACCAAAATTCAAACTTGATCTGTGTATTGTGTAGAAGTTTCATAAAATTTGGTTGAGGCAAACCTAAGTTTGAGAACGGAAACCAATTTCGGGACGTAGGGACAGACGGACGTACAGACGGACAAGGGTAAAACTTAATGCCCCCTTCACTACGGGTGGGGCATAAAAAAATGGAGAATGTGTTCATGGGACACAGATGATGCCCCGGCTTGCATATAATGTTATAAAGAGGCATAACTCGAGAACGGTAAAAGTGACACCACCCAAATTTGAACTTGATCTGAGTTTTGTGGTAATAAGCATTGTGTATAAGTTTCATAACATTTGTTGAGGCAAACTAAATTTAGAGAATGGAAACGAAAAATTCAAAAAATTTTCTGTATATAAAGATGCGTAACTCCAGAATGGTAGAAGTGACACTACCCAAATTGGAACTTGATCTTTGTGGTTAGCATTGTGTATAAGTTTCATGACATTTGGTTGAGGCAAACTAAAGTTGGAGAACAGAAACCAATTTTGGGACTTACGTACGTACGGACAGACAAGGGTAACACTTAATGCTCCCTCCAGTGACGGTGGGGGGCATAAAAAGGCAGACGAGACCAAATGAAGAATAAAAACTTAGTCAAAGAGAGACCAACAAATTCATGGAAAAATAGAAGTACTGAGCAACACCATATGTGATGTGGGGGAGGGGGGAATCAGAGATGATCCTTAATCCTTCTGCACATAGGACACCATGTACAAAATTTGGTGTTAATTCTCATTCGGAGAGGAAAAGAGGACAGGAGTGTGGCTATGCAAATTTGAACATATCAGTGGTTATCTATGACAATATTTTCTACAATGGTCAACCAACCCATGATGGCATCTTAAATTTTCTTAAAGCATCACTTCAACCTTACCACTAGGAACCTTTGCTTCAAAAGCTTCCGTGTAATCAGCAATTCTCTATTAAGTAAATCATGATAGCTCTGAAATATTGTACACTAAACAGGGAGAAATATACTTCACATGCAGGCGCTGCTGAAATTTTGCTACATATAATTTTAAGAAATTGAAAATTCACAATCGGAAAGCTGAAATATTTCTTTGGTTGTAGGGTTTCGATCTCAACCGAAAGTCATTGTCAATTTCTGAATGTAGGCTAATTAAAAGTACAGAAAAACGTGTAAATATATTATATCTGTTTTTAATTCTTCAAAATAGCTACTCCACATTGGATTAGCCTCAGGACAAACTGGTTTTAAGGTCATCAAAGATACAAAATTATAATAAATAAACAATAAGCAACAAGTAAGTTATTCAAAACTTAACTAAAAGAAATTTAAAAGCACTAATGAAAACATTTTAACTGAAAGCATTTTTTTTTTATCAAAGTCAGAATAAAAGTTGTTGTAAAGTACATGTAAATATAATTTAACTATTAATACATTGAGTGTTTTATATTAGAATAATAAGTTGGGACTGATAAATAAATATTTTCCATTTTATCCACATGATCCAAGGTTTCAAAATCAATTCATTCAGATACAGAATTAAATAATGAAAAATCAAATTTATCACTAATTTATGAAATCATGTGCATATAAAGTGGAGCTAAAAACACATATTATCTTTGGATATAATAATGTATTATATATTCAAAACTTCCCAGGAAATATGTATGAATCGTCTTAAATACGTTCTGAACTTTGCTGAGCTTTTTCAAGATTAAAAAACTATAGGATATTATCATATTAAGCTTGTTTCTCAATTAAAAAAATAGTTCATTTGATTTGATAATAAACTATAAGTCATAGAAAGACACAATGACCTGATGAAATAAGTGAAAGCATTTGATATCATGTATGATTTAATCACTGCTAATAATAACAAATATAGAGAGGCATGTGTACCTAAAAGGAGCAAAAAATATGCATTTTCACTTTTATTTGCAATTTCTCAAAAATCTGTCACAGAATTATTTTCAAAAATGATTGCTGTATATATATTTCAGTTTTAAAAATATGAAAATAAAATTAAGTCAACAGATTTGTTTATTTGCAGAAATCAATAAATCTCAACATCTACAGAATGAAAAAAAGCGGTAAAAACTAAGCCTATTGTGGTGACTCTGCAGACATCTAGTTTTTCATTATAACTCATACATCATTCATACTTTACAACATGTACAATAACTGTAAACATCAAATAAATAGTAAAATTCATTTCAAATTAACGGTTTAAACAGTAAAAAATATATGATAACCTCCAGCTACTTCATATCATTAAAACCACAATGTTATCAGAATTAAATTATTAAACATATCATTCAAACAAATATTGGGTTGACAAATTTGTGAGGAAATTACAATTTAAATTGAAAAAAAATGCATATATTTTGCTGGTTGTAAAAGACTGAACTGTAACCTAAGTATGTAAACTTTGCCGTAACAACAAAAATTGATGGAAATAAAGGTTACATCACAAGAATGGAAGGCAAGGCTGTACAATACTACTTAGTTCAGAAACCAATTTCTTTTTAAAAAATGATCTGGCATTTGTCATCAGTTACAATTTAATGAACCTTATATAGTTACCAATAATAAGGCCTCTAATGAGTTTTTTTATTACAATTGTAATTGGTCGCTATAAGAATGAATGTAAGAATACATATAACAACTCAAAAATGCAATAGTGACTGTAAATTCAGAAATTATTGCATGAATTTATTATTGCAATTTTTGAAGAATATACATGTAGACAAAAATGTGAGATTAATTATACATGTATATTGCAATTTCAGGAAAATCTGCAAACAGATATCAGAATGAGAGTTCTTATTATTGCAATAATCACCAGGTCACATATATTTGCATTAATAAAAACCTCACAATAATTTCTGAATTAACAGTATTTCATTATGCAGCATCAAAGCAGTTTTCACTAACAAAATTTAATCACAAGAGTAGAATGGTATTTTTGATTATCATGTGATCACATTTTATGACCATTTTTGATTATATAATTACTAGGTACCTTCAAACACCCAGAAATAGTCTAAATAAGGCTACAGTTGCCAACTTTTTATTCTTCTTGGTTGAACCAGTTTGACACTGGAATTTACTCTACCCAATGTGATTTCATTTGCCAAAACTTTTGTACAATACAACAAGTATATTAATCAAATTATACTGTTCTGAAATGGAAACTTCTCAATTAAATCTTACTTCCTGTTTAGAATTAATGTACCCATAAATGGTTTGTTTACAAAAAGTAGAATTGTCACGAAACATTTTAATGTGAAAAGTTCCTTTTTCCTATTTTAACGGGTTTTTTCTATACATTTGAATCAATTCTTCCCGAATGTGAGGATAAGAAATCAATAGATAATGCCATGAATAAGCAGTATATTAATATTATTGCAAGGTATTATTATCTCTAGTGCTTTCTCTTTCCTTTCTTTAACTCCATCCCATACAAAAACAAGTATGTTCATAAATAATTACTTCACTTTCATGGTTTTTATCATTCAAATTGTATGAAAACTGGTACTTCATGACTAAAGTTGCATCTTTTTGCCTGGTTTTTCAGTCACCTTCTTACTTATACCTGTCTCATAATTTGATTGGCTAGCATTAACTTTTGCTCTTCTTCCACTTGGTAGTAAACAAAGGTTTTATTGATTTTATGGTTCACCTAGCTAGCAAGCATGTAAGCATCATTTCAATATTCTTTGTACACAAGTATATTTTCTGTAATATTCCCATAAAATAGTAATACATTTGTACAAAAATATCATATAATATTTGAAAGAGTTAACTATCTAAATACCTTTACTGGTATAAAACATTCCCCTGTTACAAAGCCATTTTCATAAATTACAAATGATTTAAGAACTAACTAATCAGGTCATATCTCTTAAGTAATTCATTTGCTAAAAAAATCATAATAACAGATCTAGATATAACTCAAGCTGCCATAGGACAATTCTATAACGGAAAGTCTAAAATTTCTGTAGTCAATACATGAAATAACCTATGTCTCAAATTATTGATCTTTAAACCTAATCTCCCTGTCAATTTCTTTAATTCTGTGATCTATAAAGTCTCTTGTAGCAGGAGGGAAGTCTATGTGATTACCCATCAAACAATCAAATGTAAACCAAACATCTGAAGGTCCAGCGAAGGTTTTGTTAATGGTATTTACTTTAAGCAGGTTTTCCACACGTATACTGGATTCTCCACTCAGAAATTTAGAGTAGTTTGTTCCTTTTTGTTTCAGCTGGTTGATGAACTCATTGTTAAGCTTTTCTACATTGCCTCCATTCTGCCTGGCTTCCTATAATGTATGAATGAACAAACAAATGTTTTGAAGCGCTTTGTCATGTTTATAAACACTTGAATATATATACATGTACATGTTTAGGCAATCTGTCAGTAACATTTCTGACACACATTACATAAAAACAACATATATTGTATGCTGCCAAATACCAATCTTTTGCAATATATCCATAAACAGGTTGTACTATTAACATGATTAAATGAAGAACATTTGCTATTTTCAATTCAAATTTTTGTTTGTTTTATCAATATTTTGTGGTTTGTTTTTTCCTTATAATTTAGCACAACAGTATCTAAAGACTGTACAATCACCAGTCAGAATTATCTAAATTTTGTATCATGTTTAGCAAATTCTCATACATGTACAAAAAAAATCCCCTACACACTTGATTAAACTTAAAATAATAATACATGTATGACCAAATATGCATTAGAAAAAATGATTAATATCTGGTAAGGACAATCTTGGTTCCGAATACTGCAGTCAAATTTTGTATGTCATGTTTTCAAACAAAATATGTTTAAACTAAACATTCCTTATCAAAAGTTAATAGTATTAACTGATAACATTACCTTTATTGCAAGACAAAATTCTTTCAGCATTTTTGAAGCATTACCCCAGTAATCTTGACAATAATGCACCCGTTTTAATATAAGACTTTTGGTTCTCACACAGACAGCTAGAAAATCACACCAAGGTAATTTAGAAACACCCATCTGACCTTGTATTTGGGCCATATAATGTCTAGGTATGCCATGTGGAGCATTTTGTCCATACAGTGAGAAGACAGGTGCTTTAAATTCACATAGACCAACTGGTTTCCTAGCATTATCCAAAATAACTGCATCGGGAGATACTCCAACTAAACCTTCTAGGTCATCTCCCTTAACTGGTATCCATAATCCAGTTTCCCTTGTCTGGTTTCCTGTTAAAATCTGGTACATTTCACTAATGATAACTTCCATGTTGATACCATGTTGAGCTGAACTAGATGTCTCTTCTTCCTCTTCTTCTGTGAGGTAATAAACAAGAAAGTCATATGGTTTACCTCGCCCAACACCCAAAGCTTCACCAAAGTTTGATGCTGTCAGCTCAACAGATTTTCTCAACTCAAACCATTCTGATGACCTCTGTTGTACATTAATTTCCATTACAGCAGTTTCACAAAAATATGTATGCTCATATTCGATTCATTCAATGTGTTTGTCTAAGAGGCATATTGCATAGCAAACTGAAAAATACAATAATATTAAATACATGTATGTTAGAAATATTAATTTACATCTTGCAAATATTGCTCTGATATCTAATAGATAAAGGAGAAGGTACATGTATGATAAAGCCCCTATTTTTGTATTATCAATCGACCAAAAAACATCCTTCAGATGTTTATGATGACATTAGTTTGTTAGACATCAGTATAAAAACTTGGTGATTTTGTTTTACATTTTGGCATTAAGCATGTTTAGCATTGTGTTCAGGCTTCCAATTTCTCACATTCATGGCATTTAGTGCAAAACAGCAAAAATTTGTCAAAATAGCCTCGTTTTGATATCTCGTCATTTATTTTTTTGCTACACATGTGTTTTACAAAGACGTTGATGTAGATAAAAAATATCTTTTTGGGTAAAGCTGTTACTCATTGCCATTTTTGGTCAAATATGTAAATTTCGACATGTTTATGACATCATAGTGACATAAATGAGTGACCTTTTTTCACTAAAGTTTCCAGATTATATTAATCTATTCATTCAACACTTTTGGGTATATATTTGTATTATGGCTGCCAGTTTTATTGAAGGAGGAAGCCAGAATACTTGTAGTACTTGTTGACCTTAAACCTTGTTGAGGATAACTTGCAATCCAAAGGTCAATGAAGATCAGAGTCGAACAAAAGCAGAGTCCAAAATAACATCCTCACATTAAACACAAATGCCATACAATTACATCTACAGTACTTCACCTTTATGCCGACTATACTTTTGACATAATTATGGATAATAGACTTTCTAAGTTCTATGCCATATACTGTCACATATGGTTGTTTTGTGCTTACATGACTCAGTCCATTGACTTTCTTTGAAAGTTCTATGAGGTCATTTATAAAAAAAAAACCTTGGTTTTCATCCAACTTTTATAAACAAGGGGGTCGAATTTGATAGTTATATTTTTGTGATTTTTGGTGAAAACTTCTTGCAAAATAAAAGAAAACTGTGAGAAATTAATAAAAAAATAAAATTGTTTTTTTTTTTTTGCTCTGAAAAAAAAAGTCATTAAGGGGGATGTGGAAAGAATCTTCAATCAGATTTCTGCTAAATTTTTAGCCTTTTGAAAACATAAACACAAATTTAAAGTTCCATTACTCCATTATGACTGACCTTATATTTTATATTAATATTTAAAATTGATGAGTTCCAGCGACTGATAAAGCCAGTAGAGAAGAAAGATTGAGGGTGGTACATGAGGAATTTATTCTCATAAGTAACAACATATTACACAAAACTCCTATTTGTCCTATATCCTGCTGTTCTAATCATTTGAATGCATAACAAGAATATAGTATTCCTGTTTTTATTTTAACTTTTTTTTTCATTATTACTATTACAAGGACTTTATCTTGTCGACTATCATGACTATATAACGGGGTAATAATCAGTACTGATCAAGGTTACCAAATAATATCAGCTTGCATTTTATGCAAAAACAGATGCATATGGCAAACTGCTTTTATTTTCATTCTAATACGTTTTTATTTCTAAAAACTGTGTAAAAATTAGCTTTATCGAATAAAGATAAGGAAATGACAATTTTTCTGTTTTTCTGGGTTTTTAAACACTCACTGGGTAGATGCAAGTGCAGGTACATGGCATTATCACTTTATAAAGTTCAATTTTTTAAGTCTTTGATTTCTAGAAAACTTGCTGTTTTCAAACACAGTCATTCAATTAAGAAGTTTCTTCGAATGAATAAAAAAAAAAATTTTTTTTGGTATAGTTCTATCATCTCTATGCTCCTAGCTCTTTGAGTTTGATGTACAAAAAAAAATGTATGAAAATCACTCGTTTATTTTAGGTGACACAAATTTATAATCATTTCTAATTTAGTGAAAGGAAGAGGTTAGGAATTTTTGTGCTTGTTTATTTCAATTACCTCCTTCTCTTCCTACCACAAAAAAGTAAATACAAAAGTATGATATAATTAACATGATTAATGAAAAATGAAAAGGAAATTTCAATCATTTGATAGCTACATGAAGATTCATAAGTGATGGTAATTAACTGGTCTATGTACCTATAAAATTGCCACAAAAGTAATGTGCTATTCATTAAATTTATAAAAGGATTTAAAGTAAGTCTTCACCTTTTTATGGGACTCTTTTAATGTTTAAAAAAAGAATATTACCAAAATGAGTGCAGTGTTAAACATCTGAACATGTTAAATATCTTTTACATAAACTGCAAATTTCTGACAGTAAGTACTACTTGACCAGAGAAAGCTAGTGCCAAACATTGAAGATCAAGTTGCAGACTAGTAGAAATTGCTATTTCTTAGTGTTTGATACAATTTTGACGTGAAAGGAAGGTAATTTTGCCACTGAATATAATTATAATAGAAGAAGAATACACAGCTGTATCTCAAACATTTGTTTCAAGTGTTGACTGGGCCAGTGGGGAATTGATATATATGGTCTGATGGTCATCCCTTAGTCTTCTTCCGATCAACAGTATTATAGAAATTTCCGCCGTGACGTCACCAAGTCACGTAATTTTTCGACTGGTTGGCAATATAATAGAAGCTTAACATTATTATGCTACGAGGTTTCACATGTCATTGCACTATTACATTGATATCCCTGGCAAAAAAGGAGCATCTGTTTGGCTATGCAGGATGTATAATTATTCGAAACCACATTTAGTAAGAATGAGGACAATGAATCCCATGACAAGTGGAGAGAGAGTGCTACTCTCTTCTTGTTTAGAATCATTGTAACAAATCTTTAAGGGTCTGTGATTTGGCCTGTTGCAACTCACAGGGGTTTGTTACAATTTGCCAGGTTTACTATCCATACGAACCCTTTTCGGGGTTCGTATGGATAGTAAACCCGGCAAATTGTAAAAAAACCCTGTGACCTACCTATTGAACTTATTATTAAATTGTTGTTGTCCTGAAGATGCATAAAATACTTGCCACTGGACGTTTTAATAGTAAACAACAATGAATCAATCAAAATTTATTAGGCATATTCCCCATTTGGTGGAAGAAAAACAAAAAAAAGTATTACGAATAGAAGCTTCAAACAGCAAAACATATACAAATTGCATTGAGAAACTATCACATACAAGTAACTAATCTCTGACTGTTTGAGACCTGTGTGTTGGATCTGCAAATATGTATATATATATTGGACAGCCTCAGCAAGTATGTAAAAAAATGCACAACTCCTGTCAAAATCTGGGACACCACAGAATCTCTCCGTCTGTCTAAAAAATATCAAAAATCGGAAAATTATCAAAATCTACAATAAATTACATAAAATGGCTTGGGAATGTGTATAAGTATTATAAATAGTTTAAAGTCAACATAGTAATGATTAACAACTACCTGAACTGTAATGTCAAAAACATTTTTCTTCTTTCGAAAGGAGGAAATAAAGAACTACATCTGGTTCCCGGTTTGATAATACATATGTAAGCCTTTGGTTTTACTGCAAGTTCCAGATTTTAAGAAGGTGTGGAAGCATGGAACAGGACGATTTTGAAGAGGGAGAAATTTTGGATTCTGATGAGGACGAGCAAGAAAATAAGGTTGCAATATGTAGAGACTGAATCGTTTCAAATAATACACACCAAATTTGACAAATTAAGCAAGTTCGTAGACAACAGAAACGTTTATAATACGTTGTCCATCATGCTGATAAATAAATTATATTTAGACAGGGCATAGATGTATGAGATGTCCAAGTACTTGATCCACGAAGAAAATATTATAAACAGAAAATATAAGAATTGATAATTTCTACACGCTTGGTTCAAATAGATATACAGTTCAACTGTTCAAAGTAAAAATGAGGAGATGTGGTATGATTGCCAATGAGACAACTATCCACTACCGTTCAAATGAAGTGGATGTTAGCAATTATAGGCAACTGTACGGTCTTCAACAAAGAAAAACCCATACTGTATAGTCAACTATAAAAGGCCTAGGCTTTTAAAATATGTAACAAATCAATTGAGAAACTAATCAGTCAGGGATGTAGCTCTATAGGGTTATTACAGAAAAATAACATACATTTGTTATTGTGGACTAAAAAATCAAAGAACTGCGATAACATATGTATGTTACATGTTTCAAAGGGACAATATACTTCACTAGTTTAGTTAAAATGCATACAAGTTCTATTGATATTACTATTGTCTTTATGTATACTTAGGCCAAAAAAAAATATATGTCTGTTTAAGGTTACATACTTTAAATAAATAGGGTAGGTAGGTCGGTATTTTCATTTTATTTTTTCATTTTATTTTTTGTGACATGATTTTGAGTCGTGCCGTTTCGACCTGTCTAGGTCCGAGCTGATCATGGGCCAAGTTTACCCGTATTTTTGATGATCAGATTATTTCCCTTGGAAAAAAATGGCGGCAAAGTGTTTATTTCATCACACGAGTTGCGAATTTCCTTAAAACAGCTGTCATATTCACGATTGTGAACATTGGGATGTATCAGGCAATTGATTTATATCATTTGCAACACTAACTTCGCTTTTGACACAAGTTCAGTTTATTTTTCACTTTACGACGGAAATAAAATTACTTAGGGTCGGCGCTCAAAAGTAGGGTAGGTCGGGTAACCGTAAACAGACATATATTTTTTTTGGCCTTAACTATAGAAAGATATAACAGTTCATAGTTTGCCAATTTTGCATAGTACACATGAATTATAGTTATCTCGTACCATTGTAAACTCGTACCAATGTCAACTCGTACCACTAAAAAAAACTCGTACCAATGCAAACTCGTACCACTACTAACTCGTACCACGGTAAATTCATACCATTGTAAACTCGTACCAACTTATTTAAATGCATTCAAATGGTGTTTAATGATGAATATATACTTTAATTTCACTCAATACCTCTTAAGTCTGTAAAATGTATATAATTTGAAATTACAATGACCAATTTGTAGCTAATTTTCCTTGTCTAATTGGATAGAGAAAACCGTGGCAGATTGGCTTTGTTGTCTCCCTTGAATAGACTCTTTTTTAAACTTTTACTGACAACTATTTGACTTAATTTTTAATCATTCCAAATCAGTAACATTGAATAGTATTTTTCTATTGGTTCTAAAAGGAATTTTATTTAATGAAAGAATTTATTTATTGTGTTTTAAAGGTTTAAAATTGTTTATGACCAACAGTTAGAAAGTATGAAATTTATTTTTATACAATATTCAGCACATTTTAGCAGAATATGATCATGCTAATATGATTAAACAAGTTGATTAGTTAATAATCAACCAATAATCACACAATCAAAGGAATTTAATATATGTATAAGCATGGTAATTAAGAAATTACATTCGTATTTTTGTCTAAGTTTTCATTAAAATCTGGTATAAAATTCAAAGATATTTTAATTTTTTGTATAAAGCTTAAAAAAAAAATAATCATAAAAACATTCGTATTTTTGTCTAAGTTTTCATTAAAATCTAGTATAAAATTCAAGTAATTCAACTTTTTTTATTTAGTTTACCAAAAAAAAAAATCATAAAACATTCGTATTTTTGAATATTTTTAATGGTACGAGTTTGCAGTGGTACGAGTTCTGATTGGTACGACTTCCCAGTGGTACGAGTTTACGTTGGTACGAATTAACTTTTTTGGTACGAGTTTACGTGGTACGAGTTAACAATGGTACGAGTTAACTTGCTTCCGTACACATATATGTTATTACAGAAAAAATATGCCTGTAATAACTAAAGGGTGTTATCACAGCTTCTCTATATCACTCCAAAACATTTTCTCAGACATACATCATGCTTAATTACAATGTATTTTAATTTATTGTAAGATATAATGACCAGAGCATGTAATGAGGTTCTGCGCAAGCTTCCCAGTAATTCCCAAGTGTCTCATATAATAGGTTACATTCCTTTAATAACTAAGCTATGTTATTACAACTAATTTTATCCCTTAAAAGCCTTGTCTCATTGATTTACCATGGTTAATCAAAAATGTATTAATTTAATTAGAAAATTATCAAGGCTATGCATTTAGTTTCTGCGCAAAGTCTCAAAGAGTTCCCTAGAGCCCATTATAAATTAAAATATTTTTGATTTATTTAACAAATAACAAACATATGTTATTGCAGATTTAGAAAATTTAAGGAATAAAGAGTAGACAACTCATGAAAGTATCTGTAATAACACACGCGTTATTTTCTGTAATAACCCTATAGAGTTATATCTCTGACTGCTAATGGCCTAATTCAAAACAATTTACCAAAAAAAAATATGACGGACATGAACCAACAACAATCACTGAACTACAGGCTTCTGACTTGGGACAGGCACATATAGAATGTGGCAGGTTAAACTAGTGTTTGGTTTAAGACGATGTCATATTATCATGATTATGACAAATTTGCATTTGCTTATAACATAATACATGTGTAATGTCACAGTAAGAACCGATTGTTCAACATGTTCAATGATGTCATTTATACTTATTGACCTTTGCATCAACTCAAGTAAAAGAGTTTTTCTAGACTTAACAGCAGATTTTTAAAGATTTTCAATTTGATAAAAAAAAAATTTGGTAGCGATCAAAAACAATATTCTAACTTGATCAATGATGTATTGTAAAGATAAAGTTCTATGACATTTGTTTTAATGACAGACAATTAAACATTAAATTATAGAAATGCAGTCAGAGAAATTTAAAAGAAAAGTAATTTTAATTTTTAAGATTTTACTCAAATATTAACAGTCAGGGCACTACATGTACTTAAACAAGTGATTTCAGAATCACTCCCTCGAGTGATTTTGGCTGTGAAATATTAAAAATTTTCACACAGACTTTTTAAAATCACTGAAACAAGTAATTTTAGAAGTTAAAATGTAATCACTTTAATAAATGTTAATAACATTTTCTTGATATTTTTCCCACAAGCTTGATTTTTTTATTGGTAAAAAGACAACAATTCCATTGAAAAAACAACTATGTATATACAGAAATTGTCTTTTGCTTGATAAGCCTGACACTTTTACAGTTTTTTTTAAAATATGCAAAAACTGGAATAGTTTGTAGATCAGGTCATAACCTTGAAGTAGATCATTCTAACTCTAAAGAAAACCAATCAGGTTACTTAATATTGTTGATCTTTGTCTGATAGTAAGAGTAGTTAATGAATTTTTGATTACAGAAAAATTCCCAAGGGTACTTTTAAAAGCTTTAGCGCACTGCACTAACTTACTGCCCAAGCGCACTGGTGAAATTAATATACAAAGAAAAAGGGATAATTGATTTATGTAGGAAAATTATAGAAAAGATATTGAAAATATGGAATATCAATGAAATTAGCATTTGAAGATCAAAGAAAACACTAATATCACTGAAATAAGTGATGATGAAATCACTTGTTTAAGTAGCACCCCTGACTGATTAAGAAAAAAAAAACTTAATATCTAAGGGTAAAAGGGATTTAATTTTACCTCCAAAATAATTGACCTGTACAAGTAAATAAAAAAACACTTGTATGTATAAGTATTACCCTTGGCAGTCAAAGTAAAAAAAAAAATTCTTCGTCTTTCAAATCTTTCAAATATCATGTCAATCATGTCAATAGAGGTTGTTGTAATTGATACAATGTACTATTAACAAGAGTAATTTAACTTCATTTTGAGCATAACTTGTCCACAATAACTTGATTTTTTTTCTTTCTAGCTTATAACAATGTATCATGTATATTGGTTTTTTACTTACTAGATATACAATGTAGCGCTAGAAAGTACATATGTGATTTAGAATTTTCTATGCATTCATTGCATTACTCTGTTTTTGATTTTAATTTGCAGGACAATGAAGAGAGTAAAAAATCTTCATCTGAAGAAGAAGCTAGTGACAAGGAACCTGACCCAGATCCTTTAGATACATATACCGTTATAACACGTCCATCTGATTCTGCAAATAACATGAATAATGCATATCGTCAGAGAAGTACATTGATGAGTAATAGTGACAATGACAATGATTCTTCTGCTACAAGTGACGAAGACACTGATTTGTGGAAATTGAAAAAGTCAAAATATTTTTCTAAAAAGACGGACAATAAAGATGTTCAATTGTCTAGTGTTATAAAGTCACCAATTAGGGCATCGACCAATGGTGTTTCTCAAAATGGAACCGTATCCGGAAGAAATATTAACTTTGGTTCAGGGGAAAAGCGCAAAAGGCAGAATAATGTTTGGGGCTCAGTTCTTACAGAACAATCTTTAACACAGACCATGGGGTCAATAGGGGTGGAAAGGAAAGATCATGTTCTGAACAGTTATAGAAATGTAGAAGCCTATGATTATTTACAAGCCCACGAGGATGATAGATCATTTGACGAAGAAACAAGTAAGAAACCAGAGAGTGTTGACCCATTTCAGAAAGTAATTGACTCTGATAATGAAGAAGATAGTAATAAAAGAGGACATAAGCGTCGTAAAAAGCAGCATAACAAACACCACGATAACCATAGTAATAAAAGACAGAAACGTTACCGTACTTGTAATCCTGACGATAGTGATGAAACTGTAGTTCAAACAATTGTTGAAAATTTGCGTGAAGAAAAACCTTATCTCGTAGGTATGGAAGATTTGATTTAGGCCCAACTGGATGTCTATCCAAGAAGTATTATAATTGTATCATCTGGGATGTGTATCAATATACACATCATGCTTATAGTTAAGGGGATTTAGTTTAAAATTGCTTTAAACCAGGTTTTACCGAAGTTTACCTACTGCAACCTAAAAGTTTGATTAACAAATTAAAATGCATTGATAATATGGAAAAAAAAACAAATAAACAATTCACTATCATCTCACTTATTATGCATGTGCTCCATGATTTTGTGTTGATTGTTTATCTACATAATGTAGGTAGCAATCGATAACCTTTGACACCAGAACCTGAAGGTTAATTAGCAGCCCACATTTTAGATGAACAATCACAGAATGAAATTTTTTTGTCAATTTTACATCATGGATTTGTAAAAAATTTAAAGAACAAGCACAGATGACTTAGTTTAGTATTTAGAATTTTATATGATGCAGTGGTTCAATAATTACCTGAACATTATACAGTGTTTTAATCATATCTCGTTCCATAAACAAAAAAACAAACAAACAAATATTTTATTGCTAATCACAGCGCCCACAAGGAGCAGAATAATCAACATTAATTTCATACTAATGATTACAAGTGATTCAATATGTTCCATATGATCATATGACTTTAAACATGGTGTAAGTAAAGATATGAATAGAACAACTGTAGAAACAGAATGGTTTTTGCAAAAGTAGTAAAGGTGTTTTTGGGTCATTTTCATAATACATCATGTACATGTAATATGTACATGATGTATTATGAAATGAGCCAAAAACAAGTTAATATTTATATATATATTGAAAAAAAAAAAAAAATCTAAGAAATAATTATCCATTTCAGAGCGTATTCTAGGTGTGATTGGAAAAGAAAAAGCAATTGAGTTGATGTATGCTACAGAGGACATAGAAGAAGAGGGTGGTATGAAAACTTTTGTAAGTTTAAACAGTTCAAACTCCAAATGTTTATTGTTAACTCCTCATAAATACTCATTTACAGTCATTTACATATTTTCCACACCATGGCCACCATGAATGTTTTACTTCAAGGCATCATTATCTTGTGTGATTGGAAAAAATAGCAACATTTTTTTCTGCTGCATTAAAAATGTCTGATCTACCTAAATATAAAAATTTCATATTGGCCAAAACTAGGAATTTCCTTTCAGTAAAAATCTAGCATTTTCAATCAGTTATGACTATTAATTATAGATATAATAGAAAAACAAAGGATATGGGGTATCTATCCATGACATAAAATCAGTACATGTACAGTAAAAAACACACAAAAAGTAAAGGAACAGCGCTATTATTGCTCTTCTTCATCTCAAAGATGGCTCCTAGCACCAGTTTGACTATATGATCATTTCAGGACCCTTGACTAGGGGTAAAAGTTTTATTTAGAAATAAAAAAAAATGGAACCTTTTGAAAAATATGTAATTGCATGACAGCTCAACTGATAAATAATATGTGATATGTTTACTTGAACCATTTTATAAAGGGCAGTAATTCCCTTGAGCTAACTTTTATTATTGAAATATAATTTTGGTACCAAAGATTGACTTGTATCTGCATGAAATTAAGAAAACATTGTTAGTGGGGATCTAAAAAAACACTAGTGTAGGCAATTTTTTATTCATTGAAAAAGAAAATAAAAACTTTGATGTGAGGGAATATATGTTCAGACTGATCATTACTTGTAGATAGCTAATGTCCTTGTAATTTCTTCAAAGGAGTTTTATAATCATAGGTGATGTACTTTGACAACAAAGTCAAATAATGTGTTTCCATCCTGTTTTATGAAGTGTAAATTAACTTAAACACAACTATCATTTTCTGACCTAAACAAGTCCAAAATTGTAAATACATGTACGTTTTTATGTCCCCCCTTCGATAGTAGAGGGGCATTATGTTTTTCGGTCTGTGCGTTCCGTTCGTCCGTCTGTCCCGCATCAGGTTTAAGTTTTTGGTCAAGGTAGTTATTGATGAATTTGAAGTCTAATCAACTTGAAACTTAGTGCACATGCATATATATGTTCCCTATGATATGATCTTTCTAATTTTAATGCCAAATTAGAGATTTGACCCCAATTTCACGGTCCACTGAACATAGAAAATGATAGTGCGAGTGGGGCATCCATGTACTATTGACACATTCTTGATATCATATATAAGTATAAATAATTTGACTTCTATAAGTCATAAACAAAGATAGATTTGTGTGTGTCTGATCTATGACTATGTATTATGAGAAAGTTGAAAACTAATAATTTAGTTTACTGTTAAAAACAAGTTCGCATATTTTCATTGGCAGGGTTGTAAATCTGTAGATTTGGCATGTTTGGTGTCTATGATAACAGTAAATAACCAAATGGTCCAATTATCTGTGAAATTGAACCACCTTTATTGTCTCATTGTAGTGTGCTTGCTTGAGTGTGCTAGGTCCCGGTTGTATTCTGGGCAAAGTCACACCAAGCATGCCAAATGCTTAAAGATTTTAAAAAGAAATTAATATATTTATCCACCAACCAAAATGTTGTTCAAGACAGTTTCAGTACTTTTTTCAAACTTGCAAATGTTTTTGTTCTAATATGCATTTAAGGACACACAGATCCAAAGTAAATCAGCTTGTAATTGAAAAGTAATTATATATATAGCTTTATACTGTTGAATGTCACTGAATGAAAATCTGCATCCACACAAATAGCTTTAAATTTACTATAAATTCATTTTATCCTATTTGAAAACAAATTGTAGGATGGCAAAAGAAGAAGAACACCAGGAGGTGTTTATATACAGTTAATTAAACAAGATAAAAACGTTACCAAAGATATGGTGGATGAAATATTTGCGGAAGAACAAAAGAAATATAAAAAGGAATTAAAAGCTGAGTCAAAGAAAAGGTTTGCAATTTTATAGTTTTATTGTTAGTGAGCAGTTATTTTGAATGTTCATTAGACAGTGATAAAATGGAAATTGGAACGATAATTTAGAAGAATTGTTGGATTAAATTTGATTTCTGAATTACCCCTTGATTTATAAAAAAGGAATAAAAATAGAAACTATCCCCTGGTAGCTGTCAGGGGTAATACTTTAATATAAAAGTTATGTTTATTTACTGGAAGATGTTAGGAATATTTACTTGTTTATTTACTGGAAGATGTTAGGAATATTTACTTGTATTAGTAAATTTGTAAGGTTTTAATTTTCTTTTCATCGTGTGAATAATCTCCCCTTAATTTTCTAAAAAAAAAAATCACTTGTACAAGTACAGTATTTTTATTACAACCCCTTAAAATTCTCCAAGTTCTGGAGGTCAGTTTTTTCTGGTTCAACCTTTTATCTTGAGAACTAAACAAAGAAATCTACTAGGAACAGATGTAAAGTAACTGTTCAATGCCTTCAAAATTGCTCCTTGGAGCTTTGTTAATAAAATAGAACTGTTACTTAAATCATTATAGAGTTTTATTGATGATAATAATGCTAATGTCTGTAGCAATCCCATAAAAAAATTTGCCTCCCTGCAATGTCTAAGTACTTTTTTTTCTCATTGTTATCTTTCATTGGACGCTTAAATTCGTGGATTAAGCAATCCACAAAAACCACGAATATTGGTACCCCACGAATAAAAGTACTTTCACAGTATATTGAAATAGCATGATAATGAGAATCTGTAAATCTTTTTTTCTTTGTATTTCCTGAAGGGTATTGACCAGCTTTTGCAGCATTCAGTAAAATGGACAATATGTGTGACAGAAGATGTTAAATCACTTTGTTTTATATTTAAATGGCAAGGATGACACAATCTGCAAGTGACAATATACACGATATATATACACATGAAATGGATAAAAAGCCATTGTCCAATAGAAACCTGGGGATTTTGAATAATGAAGAGGTTTACAAGTATTTAAAGATATTATTGTTAGTTTATATATTTTTTATAGACAAAGGGATAGAAGAAAATTAATGAAAATGCTTCCCCAGAACCGTCTCTTGCATAGTGGTAATAAAGCAAGGAATGAGAGAAAAAATGAAGCAACAAAGGATTTAGACGAAGGAGAAATGGAGACAGGAGATGCAGAAAAGAAATTAAATACAAGTCTTAGAAGTAATGATGAGGACTTTTTGAACCAAGAGGAAGAACAATTGGACATTATTCTTGGAGATGAAATGGCATGAAGAAAAGAAAGTGTTCATTTTTGATTTATAGTTAGCTAGCTCAGCCCAAATCCATAATATGGACCAGTGTGAACTATTGTCATTAATTTGAGCCTGTCATCCATTTTCTGTGCAATTCCAAGAAATTTCTCCTTGGAAACCACTAAAGATAACTAATTTTTCAGAATATTACTTCAGACTTTTTGTTGAGGATGCCCTCAACCAACTTTCATGGGAGACATTTTTGATGAATTGAACATTGGAATAAAAGAAAACTTTTGATTATAATTTCTCAGCAAAGCTTGCAATTTGCAAAACCTAATTTCGGGTAATCAGTCACTTAATAGTCCTCTGGAAATTTTTTATGACTAATCTACTTATGAACACCATTGTTGGTAAAACTGAGTAAATCTGTTCATAATAACACTAGTACTGCACTGCAATGTGCACTGCTTGACATTAAAACTGTCTTATTTTAAAAGGACCATTTTCCCCCAAGGGTGTCTTTCACTACATAGCATGGTGAAAATCATGCATAAGTGCCAGGAGGCAAAATTTTATGTTCCTTAGAACCTCTAGTTATAATTTGTGATGATTTTGTACTGTTTTTTTAGTCTGTTGTATTAAGTATTTTTTTTATATTAGAGAGCAGACTTGTCTATGGTGTTATTGTTGTATACATTTGTAAATTACATAATTATAAATGGATTACAGAGTTCTTGATTTTTAAGGGGTTTTTTTAATAAAGAGTAGAATATGGCATGCTCTACTTTTTGACCTCAAAGTAATATTCAGTCTTTCTGTGTCTGTCCCAATTCAAGAGCCTGTAGTTCAGGGGTTTTTGTTGGTTCATGTCTGTCATATTTGTTTTTCATTAATTGTTTTGTTATAAATTAGGCTGTTAGTTTCATATTTTTCATGTCAGGGCCTTTTATAGCCGACAATACGGTATGGGTTTTTCTCATTGTTGAAGGCCGTATAGTTGCATATAATGACTTGCATCCACTTCATTTGAACTTTGGTGGATAGATGTCTCATTAGGGATCATACGACATCTCTTTATTTTTATATTATTTTTCAAGAAGAAAAGTCTTAAACAGTCAGAGATATAACTCTATCATGTCTATAGGGTTATTACAGAAAAAAACTTGCGTGTTTTATTACAGACACTTTCATGAGTTGTCTACTCTTTATTCCTTAAATTTTCTAAATCTGCAATAACATATGTTTGTTATTTGTAAAATAAATCAAACATATTTTTATTTATAATGGGCTCTAGGGAACTCTTGAGACTTTGCGCAGAAACTAAATGCATAGCCTTGATAATTAATTTTTTAATTAAATTAATACATTTTTGATTAACCATGGTAAATCAATGAGACAAGGCTTTTAAGGGATAAACTTAGCTGTAATGACATAGCTTAGTTATTAAAGGAATGTAACTTATTATATGAAACACTTGGGAATTACTGGGAAGCTTGTGCAGAACCTCATTACATGCTCTGGTCATTATTTCTTGCAATAAATTAAAATACATTGTAATTAAGCATGATGTATGTCTGAGAAAATGCTTTGGAGTGATATAGAGAAGCTGTGATAACACCCTTTAGTTATTACAGGCATATTTTTTCTGTAATAACATATAGGTGTACTATGCAAAATTGGCAAACTATGAACTGTTATATCTTTCTATAGTTAAGTATACATAAAGACAATAGTAATATCAATAGAACTTGTATGCATTTTAACTAAACTAGTGATGTATATTGTCCCTTTGAAACATGTAACATACATATGTTATCACAGTTCTTTGATTTTTTAGTCCACAATAACAAATGTATGTTATTTTTCAGTAATAACCCTATAGAGTTATATCCCTGACTGTTAAAGTACAGGACAAACAATGTGAGCATGTTAAAATCACTCTTGAAGGTAATTTTTCAATATGAATGCTTTTGATTTTGTGTAAATCACTCTGAAATATCTCTCATTTTCTGTAACTGATTTTTGGATACAAGGGCTGCTGTCAACATATTATTGTATGTAATAATTACTGTAACATATGCTTTTTCAACCATTCCTTGTAGAGATGCCATGTTAAACTTTGCCATTCATTGGCCTCTAACCTTAAATTTTGATACAAATTCAGTTTCTTTTTGTACTCAGTCTATAATAAATATTGTAATTAAAGGTAAAAGTATATATTTTTTAGAAATTACAGATGTTTTGTACCAAAATGCACACTTACAAATTAATCATCATTTTTAAGATGTCTGCTTTAGCTGAAAAGAATATTGAACAATGGTTCTGTGAAAGTGCTTTAATTTTCAGAAGCCAATTTCTGCAATGTTTTTTTTTAAGTAAATGAATCATTGGGTTCTGTTATTCATGCATGTATTCATGCTTTTAGCCTGGGCATATGATAAACCAGTTGGGAATTGGTATTTTCATATGTATTGTATTATATGGTCTATTTTTACTTGGAATTCTTGGATTTTTTATGATTTAATGTCTATTTACAGTACAATAGAAACTGTCAGTGAGAATAAGTCTGTTTTTGCTAACACTGAAGGCTTTTCTGCTGGCACGAAAAAACAAAAGATAAAGTGCAAAATGATACATGTCTTATAGTACATGTACATATCATAAAATAAATAACATACAATTTAAAATTTATGAAATTTTTTTTTTTATATTGGAATATATATTTTGTGATCAATTGCTCTGTGAAAACTACTTTTATGAAAAAAATAGCCAACCTTTTTATGAATGGGTCTCTCTTGTCAACAAACCATAATATTTTGAAACATTGTAGTCTTTATTGGCACCTTCTTGTTTTTATTATACCCCCGCTTTAAAAAAGTGGGGGTATACTGTTTTACATCTGTCCTTCCGTCTGTCCCATGAATATTTTTTGTCGCATTTTTCTCAGCAACTACATCATAAGGATTTCTGAAATTTGGTTTCAGGGTTTATATAAGTCAGCTATACCATGTATACTGTGTGATGCGTTTTCAGATTCATCACTCAACAACTTCCTGTTAACCGAACATTTACATCATTTTACACATGACATCCAAGAAGTTGAAAATTTTCGTCACATTTATCTCAGGAACTACATTACAAGGATTTCTGAAATTTGGTTTCAGGGTTTATATGAGTCAGCTATATGGTGTGATGCGTTTTCAGATTCATCACTCAACAACTTCCTGTTTACCGAAATATTTGGGTGGGGGTATCATCAGTGAACAGTAGCTCACAGTTTCACTTGTTTAAATAGTATTTTTAAAATACATCAGTTTCCTTCTAGAATTACATTATGACAAACATTGAGGCTGTTAATGAGTATGTTGAAGTATTTTCGCAATCATTTTAATTTGAAGGGAGGTAAAAATTAAAAGAATGACTCTTATGCTGAGCTTGTGAGGATTTCTCCTCATCTTACAAATTGAAAAAAATAATATTTTTTATACACTTGTACAGATTTGGAAACCTCTGCTTGATTACTAAAGGAATAGAGTATAAGGCCTTGAATAATCAGCAATATACATGTCATTATTGAGGGCCTCGAGTGAGAGTAGTGTTTGTACTTATTGAGCTTAAACTCTTGAAACAAGATTATAATTATTATTATTGTAGTATAAATTAATGACAGTAAGATTATAATATGATAGAATTTTGTAAAAATGAATTCTAGGCTGTGACATTTAATATAGCTGAAATAATTTGTATATTGAATTTTCAAACCTTTTATATTAACATTCCTTCTCAATGCGAATGACTTAGAGATCTAGAAAAAAATATTTACTTTGTTTGAAATTTGTAAAAATGTAGATTTTTTTGTATGATTTTCATTTATTGAATAAAAATCTTAAAATTGTTTTATATGTCTGCAGATTACTGGTACTGATTTTGAATTGTACTTGATGACGTCCACATTTTGAAAATTAACAAAAAAACAGATATGATAGAAATGTTTCTCTTTAGTTACTTTTGAAGTGGTAATTGCTTTGTTTGATAACTTTCATGTTTGAAATGGTTACCAGAAAAAAATCCTGAGAAGCAAGTCTACAAATCAATACTAAAATTGGTTCAATTGATTAAGCAAAAACTTGATCGACATAAGAGGCGTTGAAATTGGTGGGTTTGTCATATAAATCTGTTCAGTCCCATTTAATTGAACTCAATTTCCAAAAAAGTAAAAACCATTCAAGCCATTGGTATTATAGAATATTGCAAATGACTCAGCTGACTATAAAACTGATTCAAATGAACTCGCTATCAAACCAGCCAAACTAGTCAAACCAACTAGAATGATTGCTTCATTTGAATGATTACAGAAAATAAAAAAATGCCAAAATTACAATTTAATACACCCTTTAATACTTTACATATAAGACTCATCAGTAGCACTCAAACTAGCTTTACTGATTTGACTGCCTTGACAGGGGAAGTACAATTTTAATGCCCCTGTCTTGGTGGAGGGGGCATTAAGTTTTACCCTTGTCTGTCTCTATCTCCATACTTCCCAAAATTAGTTTCTGTTCTCTTACTATACTTTGCCTCAACCAAATGTTATGAAACTTAGACACAACACTTTTTTTCACCAAACGCAGATCAAGTTAGAATTTGGGTGCATCACATTCACTGTTCTGAAGTTATACCCCTTTATTTTTATATATGAGTCAAATATAGTTTGTACTTAGGAGATATTTGTATCTATTGTATTAATTGAGTTTAACAAGTACTGATTACTTTGTTTTGACGAGGAGGTGCAATTGTTTTATATGAATCAATTGAACTATGGAGATAGAATAGACTGTTTAATTTGAATTTACTAGAATAAGGTAATAGAATATGTAGTTCTATGATGGTCATAAGCCTTAACCATTTTCATGCCCCTGCGACAAAATTTCAAGGGTCATATTAACTTATCCCTGTCCATCTGTCTGTCCGTTCGTCCATCCGTCCATCCAGATTAGGATACATTATTTGTCCAGCTATCTCCTCCTACAGTTTTGGAGGTACAGATTTAATATTTTGTAGGATGTTCATACACATAATGAAGGTGTGCATGACCACAGGATTTTGATTTTTTTCAAATATTCTGAAAATGACAGGTAGTTGGACTTAGTCATTTTTTTGGTACTAGCTGCATAAAGAGATCATGGTTTGTCCGGCTATCTCCTCCTACAGTTACATCATCATACATAGTGTTAAATTTATAATTTCCTATGGTCAGGCGGGGGCATCATTTGTGTCTTGCAGACAGCGTAACTATTTCAAGTTGTATGCCAACATCACTGTTTGTCAAATCTAAAATATGTGGAACTATACTCCTGCATATGGCAGAGTAGAAAAAGGGGGGGGGGGGGGCATTGTCCATATCTAGTTTATTTTTTTTAATTTTATACAGCGAATGACTGACATATTTAATTTCTGAAACCTGTTCACAAAAATACTGTACTATTGTTTTTTTGTAGTAAAGCGAATTTTTAAGACAAAATTATCATGAATTGTAATACATGTACAACAATATTATAACTTAAAAAAAAATATTACATATTTTGGTATAAATATATTTGACATTGAGATATATTAATAGCAGTTAAATCAAATTTTTTTGGAGTTATAAGATTTTTATAAACCTTAGTTGCTTCCAGTTCCTACAATATGAGAATGTTGTCAACCTTTAATAGTTGTTAACATTTATTACAAATTGGTCAAAATATGAGTCTGATTAAAGTTAATCTTATTCAAATTGTCTCTTATTAGTTACAGTGTCTGCCTCTGTATTCTGTTTAAACATCAGGTTAAAATGTTGGGTTTTTTTCTAACACTTTAGTTTTTGTCACCTATGAGTTGCATATAGACTATTTGCTGAAAAGTAATCACAGAGTCAAATCTGTTTCCAAAAGGAACAACTGGAACTCCCTGTCCAGCTTGAGCTAATGAAAATCAAAATTTGCACATTGGAATGGAACTGCACTGCATTTTTAACTGAATATCTTATTTTGTCTCGCCTTAATGAATTCGTGAAGGCATGATAAAGGTGTGCTGTTTCCGATAGAGGAGGCATCAACAATTTGTTAAAGATTGTGGTTAGGTCAGTTTAAAGGGAACCACTAACGGGAAGTAAATGATATTTAGTATGCACTTGTATAAGCATTTGCACATCTCATTTGCATAGAGATTGTTAGGACCTGCACCCTCAGTCCTGGTTTATTGACTTATGAACTTTTACATGTAGTTAAAATGTTAATGTTTATGATTAGGTTAGTTTTAAGTGAACCACTTGCTATAAATCAATGATATTTGGTATGCAGTTGTATTAGCATTGGCATATCTCATTTTCAAAGAGATGATTATTCCCTGCACCTTAAGTCATGGTTTATTGACTTTAAATGTTTTGTATTGTTTACATATTAAAGTATAAAGTCTCCATAGTGGGAGGTCTTGGGTTCAAACCCTTGCACGGTCAAACCAAAGACTTTAAAATTGGTATTTGCTGCTTCCCAACTAAGCACGTGGCAAAAAGAAGTAAGAGTAAAGACTGGTTAGCTAGGAGACAGAATAATTTGTGCAGGTAGGGTGACATGTACGTCTTCTTGTTGACTGTTACCTTGTGAACTATCATGTTAAAAATCTAGCTTAGGCATGTTGGTCTAGTACAAAGCAGGGTTAATATTCATATGACATTAACATGTTCTCGTCCTGAATATGCATTTAAATTGCCGCTGGACATTGAACAGCTATTCATCATCACATTACAGCATTTCCATCTTAATATCAACATTTTCATTTTATCATCAATATTACTTTCAGGTATGACATATCTCTGTGTCAACAGTTTATGTAAAGGTCTTTTCAATGTATCTATTTCGTTGTTGCAATGTTGAAATTATCATTCCTATGGCATAGATATAAAATTCAACTGATCGAGAGCACTTATCATTCCTATGGCATAGATATAAAATTCAACTGATCGAGAGCACTTATCTATATTCTAAATATAGCAACAAATGGATATTTTGTGAAATATCAATTTCATATCACATCACTTTTCTTCACAATTTGGGGCTGAATATATAGGAATGGAAATAAGTTTTAATCGTGGGTTAACATTTTCATAATTATAAATAACAATTTTAGACCAATGTTAGTATCTGCAGTATAAATTATTATGTGTGATTACAAATAGAAACTAGAGAGGTGATCTATTGATCCCAGATTCCCCTGCTCGCAGCAGCTGACAAATCACGATTGTTGTCTCGTCTGCGACGATAGTCGCGGAAATCGAGACATATATGTTGCTTTTCCGACGGCGATGGAGGATGCGTCAACAATTGTTGAGTTTTCTGCGTAAGACAGTTTGATAGGAACTACTTGTAATAGATCAATGATATTTTGTATAGAGCATTACTATCAGTATATATCAGTTGGAAGACTATTTCAAGGCCCTGCCCCTAGGTCAAGCTCCAGTGACTTTCAATTAATAAGCAATTTTCAATATTAAGTTTTCTGCCTACGTTAGTTTAATAGGAACTACTATAGTGATAGATCAATGATATTTTGCATTAAGTTGCATTACTATCAATACATAATAGTTTGACGACTATTTTGAGGCCCTGTCCCCTTTGTCCAGCGACTTTCAACTAATAAGCAATTTTCAATTTTAAGTTTTCTGCTGAAATTTGTTTGATCAATGATATTTTATATTAAGTTGCATTACTGTCAGTACATATCAGTTTGACGAACTATTTCGAGGCCCTGCCCACTAGGTCATAGCCAGCGACTTTGAATTGTTGCTGTCCATCAGATTGTCTTATTTGAATTTTCTGCCGACAGGCGAGACATATCTCTGTGCTAACAGTTTGTGTTTAGTGGCCCAAAATATTACATTAAAATTTCAACCAATATTAAAAAGGAGGCTCTAGTAGGGTACCCACTTAGATCACAAGGTCACGGGTGACTTTCAAGCAAATAAAAACAAACATCCCCACCTAATTTCTGCCGACAGGCGAGACATATCTCTGTGCTAACAGTTTGTGTTTAGTGGCCCAAAATATTACATTAAAATTTCAACCAATATTAAAAAGGAGGCTCTAGTAGGGTACCCACTTAGATCACAAGGTCACGGGTGACTTTCAAGCAAATAAAAACAAACATCCCCACCTAATTTGTTCATAAGCCCCTTTAAATATATATAGTTCACCTGTTCACAAGGCCTGTTAAATTTTGAACTTTTCCAACAATCAAGGACCATAATTCTGGAACGGTAAAAGTGAAAACGCCGGATAAAAATCGACCTTTACCTGTGTTTAGTGGTCCCTGAGACTACTATAACATGGGTATAGAAGTCTCAGGTGGTCAAAAACAATCCATTAACATTTTAAATCAATTTCAAAAATGGGTTCTTTATTTTTTTATCCGAGTCGAGCCATTTTCAACAGATAATTTGTTTATATGTTGTGCTGTTACACAACTGTCCAAGGTCAGTGGAGGGTTGACAGTGGTTGAGCGCTCACAAGCATGGGTTACCCGCCACATTCTGATTGTGCCTGTCCTAACTTAGGAACCTGTAATTCAGTGATTGTCGTTGTTGCTGTCTGCTATTTTTTTTTTTTTTCGTTTATTGGCAATTTGCTTTGCCAAAAATCAGGCCCTTGGTTTTTTCGTTTTAATTGTTAAACATTTTGTCATGTCAGGGGCCTTTTATAGCTGGCTATACGGTATGGGTTTTTTTACTTTTGAAATTTTGCGGGGACCTATATTTCCTTTAATCCACGTCATTTGGATAGTAATGTTCTCCCAATGCCAATCATACTATATCTCTGTATTTAATATAGGCTACCAAGAAGCATTCAGCAATGAGCAAAATTAATACTATAAAGTAACAGTAACCTACTATGTAAGGTTCCGGCATGCCAAAATGTAATACACTTGAAAAGGCTAAACCGACATGCTGATTTATGCTAAAACAATACACGAAATAACAATATGGCAACAAACGACTAATCACTAGTCTTTAAGCTTCTTGCCTGTATCAAGCACACAGATGGTGTTTAAACATAACATTTTAAATAGTGCTTGACCCCCCCCCGAAAAAAAACCCAACAAAAACAACCTTTGACAGGGATGTAACAGCATAACAAACGAAAAGCACACTAGTAACCGTTTGAAAGGAGCCCCAACTCATTAGATCGACAAAAGAACAAGTGCAGCCAAACCTGCTTAAGCAAAAACCTGTGTTACAAGACCATTAGGTTTAGGTCCCTCTTTAGTGCATTTTATAAAGATTGAACCTTAATTATCAAAAGACCACCTGTCATATGAGACCGCTCCTTTGCACTTTATTAAGTGATCTCTTAAAACGGGTTTCACTGTATGTGTCACACAACACGAGTTTCCTCTGAAGGTTTATTATTTTCACAAAAAGAGAAAGTCACAAGAACAAGGCAAACCCTATACAATCATTACCATTTATCAACCAATGGAACTGTTTAACTTGATACCGCCGTAAAGGCATTTCGGATAAACACATTATCATGACTAATTTTTTGTTTTATGTTTATTCTTGTAATTGTAGACTGTTGTTTTGATACTGTGTTATATTTTGTATTTTTCTGACCCATATCGGATTATCATAAAAGTTGGTTGGGTTAAAAAGGGTATTTTACTTCACAGTCTACCGACGTTTAAAACTTCCGAGCCTATCAAAGACTCCAAGCAAACTTCAAAGAAAGAGAAAATCCTAAAATAAAGAAAAATATAAACGTTGATTAGACCGGCCTTTTCCAGTATCTAAGCCTCATACAAAAAAGTTGATACTTTGCTGACATTGAGCATATATTGTATACATTTATTCTCCAGAATACCACCAAAGAAACTACAGTAACATAATTAAAAAAAAAAGACTGCGAAAAGCTTTTTTTTTATTCCTCCATGTCCTCGGAATAATCAAATGTCTCGTCAGAAATCTCCCCTTACCACGAATCGAATCGTCAAATTTAATATGACACCTTTCCAATAACTTTTATTTATGCCGTCCCGAAATAACCAAACTATTATGAAGGTTTGCATGGGATTTCAGTGGCGGATCCATTAGGGGGGGGGGGGGGGGTTCCGGGGGTTGGAACCCCCCCTTTTTTTAGACGATCAATGCATTTGAATGGGGACATATAGTTGGAACCCCCCCCTTTATCCTGGGTTAGGACCCCCCCCCCTTTAAAAATGGCTGGATCCGTCCCTGGATTTACATAATACAGAATAATAGGGCAAACATAACCCAGAGAGAAAAATGATCAAAAAAAAGTAAGAATTGAGAATATATATATATATATATATATCGAGATCTATAATGCGGTGCTAAAATATAAAGACTACAAAATAATGCGATAAAAAAACAAAGAATACAAAAGAATGACCTAAATAATAAAAGAGACTAACACACAAACAATGGAGACACAATAAAAATAAAAAAACAATCCGGAATGGTTGTAGTCGGAGTATCCATTATCGTCCGATAAAGTTCTGAAAAGTATTGCGTTGCATGCAAAGAGCCAAATCTATAAAGCAAATATTTTGACGCATTGGAGTTTTGTTTTAACTTCTAGAGATTCTATGGTAAGTCTATTATCGAAAAATGATAAAAAAGCGTAAACAAAAATACACATATCTACTTTCGTTTTGTCTTAATATAAGGAAGTATCGATACTCCTCTTTTAATACTTTTTTTTGATTTTTCGCTACACGCCTTCTACGACCTATACTATTATAAGAAGTTGTTATATATTTGAAATTGATTTACTTTCTCTTTAGGTTCATGAATCCGAACAATTGGACAATTATTGCTGCTTAGTAATTTAAAACGTTTTTTTTTTAATCCTCGAAATAATTAAAAAGTCTCGTCATAAATCTTCTCCAATCATGTCGTCAAATTAAACATGATACCTTTCCAACAACTTTCGTTACTGCCAAAGTAACCCAATATGCATGGTTTTTTTATGATAAAAAATAATTGGTGAAAAAATAAAGCAAGGAGAAAAATGGTCCAAAAAGTAAGAATAGTGAATTTATGAACGAACGTTGACTTTAACGGGCTACACAAGTCTCTGTGGTATAATCTACATCTCTTTTATTAGAATAACTGGCCCCAAAGTGCCAGTATGTGATATTGCCATCACTGCGTCCGTCGTGGGCCGTTAACTTTTACAAAACCCTTCTCTGAGTTACTTGGCAAATTGGAACCAAACTTGACCACAATCATCATTGGGTATCAAGTTAAAAAAGTTATAACATGATTCCACGTTCTAAAATCAATGAGGCTGGAGATCTACAACTTATAACTAATGACATGCTTAAAGCAGGTCAAAATATTTTTTTTATATATCCCCTCTTTGATTTTTGTTTAATCAAATTTTAACAGTTGGCAAATACCCCACTAAATGGATAAAAGGGTATATTTATCCAATCCCCAAAACTGGAGATCTATCAAAACCAAAATACTACAGGGGTATTGCAGTCACATGGTCCTAAGCAAGCTACTTAATTCTGTTCTTAACATATTAGATAACTTTCTGGAGAAACACAACCTTTTCCATCCTGTTCAAATTGGTTTTTCAAAAGAATCAAGGACATTAGATCATATTTTTGTTCTCAAAGCCCTTATAGATAAGTATTTCTCAAAGAAGAAAACGATAACGCCTGTCTTGTAGATTTTCAAAAGGAATTCGACACAGTTATTCATACTGCTATATACTTGTATATTAAACTCATGAAAGCAAATGTTGGTGGGTTATTTTACAATTTGTTCAAAGATATGTATACTAAATCAACATTATCTGTTAAAATATCTGATGAGCTTACTGAACCGTTCGGCTCAAGTATTTGTGTCAGGCAGGGGGATGTACCGAGCCAAAAATCTATTTAAAATCTTTATAAATAACCTTCCAGATTTTTTATCCGATTCATCTAGTCCATTATTTTTAAATAAACTTAGAATTGATTGTCTTATGTATATATGCAGACGTTAGTTTACTATCACATTCTGCTCTAGGCCTCCAAAACAAGCTCTGTAGATTACAAAAATTCTGTGATGACTGGTACTTAAATGTAAATATAAACAAAAACCAAAATTGTAATATTTAATAAATCTGGAAAATTATTACGTGACATATTCACACTTAATGGGACTCCCCTGGAATGTGTAAAATCAATTAAATACCTGAGCATCATGTTCTGCTGTTCAGAGGGCACATACATATAAAAAAAAAACACCCAACAATTTCACAAAGTGATTATCACCAGACTCAAGCTAGCGACCGATTCCAGCGACCAATCAAGCTAGCGACCAATTCTATCGATCACTAAAGTTTACAATGAGAATTTTTTAACAAGTTAGAGAAACATTCAGAGATATATGTTTGAAAATCACAAATTGACATAATGTTACAACGTTCTTCTAATAAAACAAAAATATAGCTACCAGTACGTTATATATCGCCTTTAAGTGTTTGATTGACCACAGATGTCTACATTTGTGATAAGTAGGGACGGAATATTATATACATGCACTTTTTAGAAAGGAAAAAGTAAATTAATTTTGTTTAAGTTTTATTTTGGATTTAAATCTTTCTAACTATTTACATGAGTAGCGTGCTTGCTCAAGGCTAATTATCTAAATCAGTAATGCAGTATTTGAAGATTTTATATTACATGGCATTATACATTTTTATTAAATCGAAATATTCGTTCCTTGCTAAAAAGGAAAGAAAAAAAACCAAACAAACAAACAAACAAAAAAAAAACAAAAAAAAAACATAAAAACAAAAAAAGCAACCACAAAACAAGTAAAAAAAATAAAAGTATCTGGAATGTTATTTGTTTGCGGTACTCTAAACTAAGAGTTCTAACGTGTAACAATTACTACATATAGTATAACTGAATTAATGAAAGGCCATCTTAGTACATAACGGCTAAACCATGACTCAAGATTCAGAGGTGTATTAAGTATTCTTAAACAGAATAAAACAATCTTAGTGCAGATGTCAATTTACGGTGAGATAAATAAAAAGTTAAACTGAACAAGAACGATGCTATAAAAAAAATCATATAATAGCTTTATATACTCTCGGCATCCTCAAATATCAAGTATTTCCTTAAAACCCTTTAGGTATAGAACTACTATATCGGCCCGGTCAAAAAGAACAGACCAGACAAGAAAGTAGTATACGTTTCAAACAAAATAGTTCCTACGCATTTAGCTGTAACTTTAATTGTCCATAAATATTTTTAGATTTATTTTGGTATCAAATGAAAGCTTAAGGATTTGGGATCATTATAGGACCATTGTTGAAAGTCTCTTTTGGGTAATTAAAAAAAAAGAAATTATAAAGGAGGGAATATTTGCCCTGTTGCTCAGATCAGAAGTACCTGTTTTTGTACTTCCAAATTTCCGGAAACCAGTGCGGAAATAAAGGTATGCTGAATTTTTCCAGAAGTAAGGATAATGTAATGTATAGTTATAAAATTACTGTCACATTATTTGAACTTAGGGCAATGGTTATTATTTTTACCATACTATGTAAAAGGACCGGTGCACTTTCCCACCCAGGCATTTTCATGAATAAAAGGGCCGGGAACAAGCTTTCAATGACACTAGGAGTGGATAAAAACTTTGCCGTAGGGGACTGTACTCAAATACGGAAAAGTGTGCCCATGCCCGTAATTGATAGGTAACTTAGACTTTCGGTAGTGATTATCATAGCATAACATATTATTAAAGGTACATTGGTACCCATTAATGTACCTTTAATATATATCTTTATTGTTATATAAACATAATTAGTGTGTGACCAAAAACAAAAATAAACATAATATAGCAAAGAAATAACAGTTCTAAAAGAAATGAACACATGGAAAAAAATTATAAGACTTCAGTTCTAACTTGATGACTGTTTTATAAAGGAGCCAATATTTTTAACATGTTCCATGATAGAGGGGTTTAGCATTTCTTTTACATTTTGTTCTTGGGTAAAAGACATAAAATTTTGAGAAGGTAAACAATTTTCAAATAGATTATACCTAAGTTTTTTGTTAATTTTACATTCAAGGAGGAAGTGTTTTTCATCCTCAAGCAAGTGGCACAGTTTACATATTCTATCCTTTCTTAATTTGTTATGCTATAATAATCATTGTGAAATTGTTGTATTTTATACGTATGCCCGTTGAGGGTCCATTATTGGTTGATAAAATCTTGAATCTTGAATCTAACCAGCATGATTTCTAAAAATATAACATAGGAATACAATGCATGTTGTGTCTGTTGTCTTGAAAACCTTAATAAATAGAGAAATTTTGACAGGGCCAGAAATGTGGAGACTGTCAACACATACCTTTTTCCATCTTGTCAAAAATTGCCGGACGTCACCCCATAGAAGTTATTACTCTTAAAATTTATCATCTTAATTTTTAGTTTTACTCATTATCTTTAAAATGTATTACTAGTAGATAAAGAGAAACTTTGAAAAGCAACAATGGCCAGCAGGATAAGATCTTCAAATAAGCAAACATGACCAAAATCGTCAACCGACACCTTATAGGAGTTATTGTTCTCAAATGATTTTTTTATGCCCCCGCCGTAGCGGAGGGGGCATTAAGTTTTACCCTTGTCCGTCTGTACGTACGTCCGTACGTCCCAAAATTTGTTTCCGTTCTCTAACTTGAGCTTGCCTCAACCAAATGTTATGAAACTTATACACAATGCTTATTACCACAAAATACAGATCAAGTTTGAATTTTGGTAGCGTCACTCTAACTGTTCTAGAGTTATGCCCCTTTATAAATGGAAAAATTACCAAATTTTTAGTTTCCTTTCTCTAGCTTAAGTTTGCCTCAACCAAATGTTATGAAACTTAACACAATGCTTATTACCACAAAACACAGATCAAGTTTGAATTTTAGTGGCGGCACTTTAACCGTTATAGAGTTATGCCGCTTTATAAATGGAAAAATTGCAAAATTTTTAGTTTCCGTTCTGTAACTAAAGTTTGCCCCAACCAAACATTATGAAACCTTTACACAATACTTATTACCACAAAACTCAGATTAAATACAAATTTGGGTAGCGTCACTTTTATTGTTCTTGAGTTATGTCCCTTTATAATGTTGTATGCAAGCGGGGGCATCATATGTGTCCATGGGGACACATTCTCCATTTATGTCATATTATCTTAAACCCGATTATTTAAAGATAAAGAGAAACACTGACAAGAAAAAATAATCAGCAGGACAGGATCTACAAATATGTTAACGTGGTCGAAATTGTCAGTCGACTCCTTATATGAGTGATTGCCCTGACAATTTTTACCTTTTTAACGTTTTTGGCAAAAACTAAAGAAGAAAGAGCAAAAACTATTAAAATAGAAAAGACTCAGTAATTACGTCAACAAAACTGAAATAGTCAGTTAACTTCTTTCATGTGTTTCCCTTGCACTGTGATTTTTTCGGTGTTTTGGCAGAAACTATAGAAGTTAGAGATAAACTGTTAAATCATCAGAAAACAAGTTCAAAAAAAAAAAATAATAATTGTCGAGAAATTAATAACTATACATGTATATAAAAATAAGGAGATGTGGTATGATTGCCAATGAGACAACTCTCTACTTAAGTTCATATGAAGTGGATGTAAGCAATTATAAGCTACCGTACGGCCTTGACGATGGAGATGATGATTTACTTTAAAATATATTCAAAAGCATAACGACTTTGGTTTTCGTAGTACACTGGGTTCCAGTAGGTTGAAATTAAAAGAAAAAAAACCAATAGATGTTTGTATTAAGAATTATAAGGATTAAAAAAAATTTGTTCTATAGCTTATCGATGCGTTTTTTTTTTCAATTGGTGAGTTAATCGGCCCAGTTTACACATAAATAACGTTTAGAAAAAAATATTTTATCCTCAATAAGTATAGTATAAACGTAGAAAAAAATCTTAAGATTATTCGACTGCAATAAACTTTTATTGTCTAAATTAGATAACCAAAATGTCCATATTTACATTTATACCTCATATTTGTAATTTTAACTAGATATCAACTTTGAAAACGAATTATTTAAACGATTTTAAATGCATTCTATACGATTGCAGTCGCGGATCAACACAATAAAATGTGTGGTCCAGCTAAAACGTTCCATTGTATTTTTTTGTCGTTTTAAAATAAATTTGATCACAAAACTCTGAAGATAGTTTTGGAAGGAAGGTTAGTTTACAACCCTTGCCAGCTAATCAGCCAAAGTTTTTTGGTTTTGCAAATTTCATTCAATTAAACACTAGAAAAGCAGTCAAACTGAATATATTTTCCAATTTTTAGTACTTGTCCAACATGTATGCAAAATCTTACGAAAGTCTGGGACAACACCTATTTTCTTTCCTCGAGCTTAAAGCTTTACCATCACGAAAACGATTGAACCATTTAATTCTTTGTAGATGGCATTGCTTCGTCATATATTACCAACAGGAAGTACAATTCCGCAAGATGAAGATGAAAGTTCCTCCTTTACAAATCTGCTGTCCCATTTTCAAGGCAGTAAAAATGAGCTGCAAAGTATACTCCAATCAGAGCAAACACATTTATTTGTTGACGAACAAATAAGGAAGGTCGACTTAAACTTTTCTCAGTCGGAGCTAGACAGCTTAACGAATGAAGTCCTAGACAGTGAAGAATTTTTGCAAGAACTTGAACAAGTCGATTTTTCTGATATTACAAATCTTGGACAAAGTAATGACAATATAGACGAGTTTATTGAGACCCTAGGCCCTACATGTGAAGAATGTATGACGTATGAAAAAGTTCATCGGATTACACAGATCAGTCCTGGAGATCACATTAGATTCCATAAAAGATTCGTCGGTTGGAATGTTTATAACCACCATGCCATCGTTACTGACGTGGAGGCTGAACAGAATCAAAGAGTCGGAAAAATGACATTGATTCATTTTCAGAAAGGTACGCAAAAAATTACGGTATTACGAGAGACAAAAGAATATGACATGGAGAAGGAGGAGATCGAAATTGTACGGTACCAGTGGCGTCCATTTACACCTGAACAGATCGTGGACAGGGCAAATAAAATGGCTGACAAATTTGAACAGGATGTACATGCTGAATCTTACAATTTATTTGGAAATAACTGCGAAGAAAAATCAAATGAAATTGCGACTGGTTCAAAATTTAGTAACCAAGTATCGTCATTTGCGAATTATGTGAAATATACCATTTCATGGTTGTTGAAACTATTGCTTAAAGGTGCAATAAAATTTTGCGAAGGAATAAAACCATTCATAAGAGGATTTGCTCATATAGCTGTTATAGCTAGCTTACTCTCCATGGTCGACAGAATGGCAACATTAAAGGATAAGTTAAAGAAAGGATTGATGTGTTTAAAATGCTACGAAAAGGAACACAAAAAAATGACGGTGTCACTCATATTTTGTTTAATAAGTATCGGAATATCAGTGATGTTCCATGTTTCCTGTTTCTATTTCGCTGTAAGTGCGGCTATTGCTGTTGCTTTACCTTGTGTTTCTTCATTTGTTATGGACACAATAATGCCCCTGATACAACCAGCATCAAAGATTCCAAAGCCAGTGGTGAAACGATGTAATATGATTCGGAATGGAGATGTCATTACCTTCCCTTATGTTGGTCTGAATCATGAAGGTGTTGTAACAAGTGTTTCCCCTTACAACACCAACGATTTACACGAAGTAAAATTAACGCTTGTGCATTTTAACTATCCAGGTTTGTTTGGCACTCGAACTGTTGTCAAAGAAGTATTCTTCTTTGATTTGAAAAAAGATTATGTTTACGTGTACGATTTCAGCCAGGAAAAACCTTTTCAGTCGCAAGATGTAGTTAAGAGAGCATTAGACAGGTGTGGGGATCAGAACTTCTCTACTTTTTCGAACAGATCTAGTCATATGTCAAGACACTGCAAGGTAAGATACAGAAATGTTAATATCTTTATGCAAATATAAAGGTTTACTGAAGAGAATAGATATAAGAAGATGTGGTATGGATGTCAATGAGACAACTCTCCATCCAAGTCAAAATTTATAAAAGTAAACCATTATAGGTCACAGTACGGTCTTCAACACGGAGCCTTGGCTCACACCGAACAGTAAGCTATAAAGGGCCCCCAAAATTACTAGTGTAAAACCATTCAAACGGGAAAACCAACGGTCTAATCTATATAAAAAACGAGAAACGAGAAACACTTATGAACCACATCAACAAACGACAACTACTGAACATCAGATTCCTGACTTAGGACAGGTGCAAACAAATGCAGCGGGTTTAAACGTTTTAATGGTACCAAACCTTTGCCCTTTTTCTGATATCTATTAATATCCAATAAAGGCAAACAATTTATTCTATTTTATTGATTAAGTGAAGAAAATTCGTAAATGAAAATAATACTTGATAATTTTGTGCATCCAAAGCGTTTTTCTTGAACAGTAACGCTCAGACCTAAAACTTTAAAAGCCAATGATGTATAAGTACATGCATATGTTAGGAGATATTAGACAAAAAGATATTAGAAGTTTCTTAATAATAAATTTTCTTATTTTTTCAACGGAGATTTTAAGAAGAGTAGTTCTATGTTATTAAATCATTTTAGTACCAAAGCACCGCACAACCAAACGGACGCCCCATTTTGGCAACGGTTTTACTACCTGTCGGAAGAAGACCTGTAATGACCATAAAATTGAGAATGGAAATGGGGAATATGACAAAGAGACAACAACCCGACCAAAGAGCAGACAACAGCCGAAGGCCACCAATGGGTCTTCAACGCAGCGAGAAAATCCCGCACCCGGAGGTGGTCCTCAGCTGGCCCCTAAATAAAATTTTGTACTAAAAATGGACGTCACACTAAACTCAAAAAACATATAAATGAACTAAAATTAAAAAACATACAAGACTAACAAAGGCCAGAGGCTCCTGACTTGGGACAGGCGCAAAAATGCGGCGGGGTTAAACATGTTTTGTGAGATCTTAACCCTCCCCCTATACCTCTAGCCAATGTTAACTGACTACTGAGCTGACTACTGAGCCTATCAGTACAATCAACCAGCAATGGTATCGATCCAATGCCAGTAAATGAATATATTGAAAACAACAATAGATACAGAAAAGATAGCAGAAGTTAAAATGCCAGAATGACAAGATAATCTACTCACTATCTTTACCAAAATTATCAAACGAGTTATTGCCCTTTAGATGACGATGTTTTTACAAGTTTTAACATCTTTTACAATTAAAGTGAAACACTATAATCGGTAGAAAATGTAACTTTTTGTTTGAAATTTTTATATAGTCAAAAGGAGCGTACCCTAGCTAACTAGGACTGTTTTCTGTTTTGTTATATTTCAGACTGGGAAAACTGAGCTAAAGACACTGCCATTTAAGACAGCTACAGAGATAACACATTTTTCCCCTGGAGATATTATTGATTTCACGTACTATAGCATGTCTCACGAAGCCGTAGTTGTTAAGGTAGAATATCCCGAAACCATCAAATGTTCGGTTGTTCATTACAATTATGCTGGGGTCATTAGAACTAGGACCATAGTAGAGGAAGATTTCATTTTCAAACTTGCAGATCAAAACATATTCGTTCACGATTACACCGGATGTGATATTTACCCACCAGAAGAAGTAGTTAGAAGAGCAAAATCACGACTCGATGAACAAAACTTCAACACTTTCAAAAACAGGTCAAGTCATTTTGCTAAATGGTGTAAAATTAACGAATGAATAGTTATTTGCAAACATTTACTTAAACAAGACTTGACATTTTAAATGTTTAATAATAAAATCTGATCAGTGATAATGTGCTTGCCAGCTTTCCATCTGCATAGTTTAATAGTTGATTTTCATCTGTTATTCTCTGTCTGTGGTTATATAATTGCTGAAATAGTGCCCGTAATGTTGAAACATATGTGCGTGTATATATTATGTTTATTAAATGACATAAGGGGGAGGGTTAAACGCTCACAAATATGTTTAACCCCGCCACATTCTTTATGTGCATGTCCCAAGTCAGGAGCCTGTAGTTCAATGGTTGTCGTTGGTTCATGTCTGTCATATTTGTTTTTCGTAAATTGTTTTGTTATAGATTAGGCCGATAGTTTTCTCAATTGAATTGTTTCATATTTTTCATGTCGGGACCTTTTACAGCCGACCATACGGTATGGATTTTTCTCATTGTTGAAGGCCGTACGGTTGCCTATAATTGCTTACATCCACTTCATTTGAACTTTGGTGAATAGTTGTCTCATTGGCAATCATACCACATCTCCTTATTTTCATATAAAATCTTCTGTAAAAACCTCATCAATTCATATCAATATACAGACCCGATTAATTCCAAATGTTGTTGGCTTCAAAAATGAGTTTCGATAATGTGTGCTTTCATTTTTGACAATACACAATGTTACTCTGGTTGGGACAATATAATACATTGGCGACAATTGAATGAAACATGGTTCTTTATCCTTTTGTGGAAGATTTTTCATTGGTTCCTTTTAAAAAATGTCTTGTCTTTCATATCATAAGAGCATTGATTGGTTTGACTGATTTGCCAGGTCCAGAACAATTTAGGCGACTGTTCAGTGATGTCCAAAGCCAAAGACTTTAAAAAGCTGATTAACATAACAGAGAAGGACCAAAAGGTATAGATAAACCAGACAAGGCATTTGAGATATGTATTAGGGAGATGCATTCCTTACTTTAAAATTATTTTCTAAGATATCACAGCAATGGACATTGTGCAAAAAAGCCAATGTTTTCTTATATTTTAAAATTTTAATCAAGATTTCCATTTATGTCTGTTATAAAGTTGATTTCAATAAAATGTAAAAATAAAAACAAGTAGTTTTGGATCCATGATGCCACAGTTAATGCATCTGAAAAAAGGCTGTTCTACGCTTTTTCCCAAAAATACATAGAATTTGATAATTTTCAGGTAGTTTTTGGACCTGCAAATAAAGAGCACTTGCAAGTATCAACTTAATATTTCACTACAATATTTTGTTTTTAAGAACACCCCCTTTCATGTGGTACTCACTATTACTTCAGAAATAATTCATAGCAGCCGTAGATTTGTTTTTCATTTAACCATGGGTTTGGCATTAGTTTCGATTATTTTATCCCGAGCGATAGGTTTGTATATATATTAAAAATACACTTCTCATTTGTTGTACACAATTCAGATAATGTTTTAATAGGTTGGATCAAGTAAAGAAGTGATACTTTTCTTAACCTCGCCATGTTAAATGTACATATTACTTAGAAACAAACTTTTTTTAAGGTTCGTACATCTCAGGCAGACATTAGATGGATGTGACTATTGCTATCGGGCCCCTTGTGGTCATATGTTTCTTACATAAATGAATAGAAATACAACCTTTGGCTTTCAAATGTTTGGTATTAAGTGTTTCTGATGAAGGTAAATCTAGAAAAGCGCATTGGACGCTCATGAAATTGTCTGCTATTTTCATGGTGATACCAGTCACTTTTATAAGCAGTTACAATGGTAGTTACCTATTATGCACAATTAACACCTACAATTTTAAGCCTGAGTAATTCATTTGCTTAGTCGGTTAGAAAGCTGACTTCCAACACAAAGGTCCTGAGCTTTTAAGTCACGGAAGTGATAATGTGATTTCCTAGTAAACACCTACTCTCCGATCACATTTAGCGCCCACGTTTATGATAATGAAATGGCATAAGAGAGCAAAGTCAGATTGTTGTTCCAGATGTTTGTTGTGCTTTCCCATAGATGTTTATGTTTTAACCTGAAATTATCGCTCACAGATGTCCCAGACCACGTTGACGTGTTGATGTTTAATTCCGCTAGTATTTATAAAAAGAAGATGTGGTATGATTGCCAATGAGACAACACTTCACAAGAAACCAAATGACACAGAAATTTACAACTATAGGTCACCATACGGCCTTCTACAATGACCAAAACCCATACCGATAAAGAGTTAATGCTTAAAATGAAGCATTTTCACCAAGGGTTCTTAATAGATAAGTTGAAGTCATCCCTCAGAAAGTTTTATGAAACATCATCATGAGTTGGTTTACTGTTATGGAAAATCTGTACCAGGTATATATAACGACGAAAGTTCTCTACTTGTCATAACTACTACAGATCCTCCCTGTCGATGCTGAATTCACCAAATGAGAATTATAACAGTATTTTTACTTGCAAAGAGCATCACGACCATTTCAGAAACTGTTTTCATATCCAGTATTAAGGAGGGTTCGTGTAACTTAATAAAGTTTGTCATGGTATTGTCTGGATGTCACAAACTGATACATTTTGATTTTATCCTTGTTGCAACCTCTTTTTGGATCATTGAAGATGGACACCTAGTTCACTTTGTGAACACATTTACAGAATGTTTTTTTTTCTGTTTAATCTAATACTATCGTTCGAGATTTTGGTTGAAAGATTCTTTCAGGTAATTTGTCGAAATCAATTACTTATGGTATACACTGTTGAGTGCCTATTATTAGGTGAAGTAATAGTCTTCTTATGTAATATTTTCTGTGTATTTTATTTGTTTGTTACGTTTTTATCTCTGTGTCGTATTCGTTGTCTGCCTCATATCTTGACTTAGAAATAGACAATGAGGGTCGGTTGAAAACAAAACTTTACGACAAAAGTGAGGATTTCAGCTTACCAATTGTGAACATTCCATTTCTATGTAGTAACTTTCCAGCAGCGCCTGCATACGGAGTATATATCTCCCAGTTGATACATGTACGATATTCCAGGGCTTGTATTTCCTATCATGATTTCCTTGATAGAGGGTTGCTGCTCACAAGTAAGCTATTAAACCAAGAGTTCCAAGTGGTGAAGTTGAAATCATCCCTTCGAAAGTTTTACGGACGCCATCACGAGTTGGTTGACCGTTATGGAATATCCGTTTCACAGATGATAGCCGATATGTTCCTAATGTCGTAACTACAATCCCGAATGTGACCTACCGAATTAGACTTATTACCAAGTTTGTACTAACATCTGCGTTATAGATTTACACTGAAGATCAATAGTATAGATGTAGAACATGAGCAACACGACGAGTGCCACATGTGGAGCAAGATTTGCTTACCCTTCCGGAGCACCTGAAATCACCCACTGTTTTTTAGTGGGGTTCGTGTTGCTCAGTCTTTAGTTTTCCATGTTGTGTTTTGTGTACTATTGTTTGTCTGTTTGTCTGTTTGTCTTTTTCTTTTTTAGCCATGGCTTTTCGACTTATGAGTTTAAATGTCCCTCTGGTATCTTTTGAATTTCATATGAATTCAGTTTACATGTACTGTGAATAATTTCATCTGAAGTCGAGAGGTCAAGAGTGTAGACACATTACTTTATCATTCTTCATTTTTAGAAAGTTCTATGTGGTTGTGTTTTAAAATTGTTTCATTCAAATAATGACTTTCAAAATCCTCGAAAGCCAAGTTAAGATTCCTTTTATGTAATCCAGGGTAAACAGTAATCCCGTGTAAACATGCATCATGTAAAGTACTATATCCTAACATATAAAATTCATTCTTGCCTTTGTTACATTTTTTATGTAAGTCGAGGAAGGCGGGACATAGTTATTGCTTTTTCCGTCGTCGTTGGCGTCAACAATTGGCTAGTTTTCTACTTAATTGATTTAATAGGTAATATTTGTGAAAGATCAACAATAGTTTATACGAAGTTGCATTACTATCAGAACGTATAAGTTTGATGACTGTTTTGAGGCCCTGCTCCCTGGGTAAATCAGTTTGATAGGAACTTCTTTTGATCGATCAATGATATTTTGTATGGAGCTGCATTACTATCAGTACATATAAATTTTGCTCCCTAGGTAAATCAGTTTGATATGAACTTCTTTTGATCGATCAATGATATTTTGTATGGAGCTGCATTACTATCAGTACATATAAATTTTGCTCCCTAGGTAAATCAGTTTGATAGGAACTTCTTTTGATAGATCAATGATATTTTGTCCAATGACTTTAAATTAATTAGCAATTTTCAATGTTAAGTTTTCTGCTTAAGTTAGTTTGATAGGAACTACTTGTGATAGATCAATGCTATTTTGTATGAAGTTGCATTACTATCAGTACATATCAGTTTGACGACTATTTTCAGGCCCTGGATCCTAGGTCATGGTCCAGGGACTTTGAATGAATTAGCAATTTCCAATGTTAAGTTTTCTGCGCAAGTTAGTTTGATAGGAATTGCTTGTGATAAATCAATGATATTTATATTTTTGTATGAAGTTGCATTACTATCAGTACATACCAGTTTGAAGACTATTTTTAGGCCCTATCCCTAGGTAATGGTCCAGTGACTTTGAATTAACAGGCAATTTGTAATGTTAAATTTTCTGCTTAAGTTAGTTTGATAGCAACTACTTTCAATAGACAACAATATTTTCTATAAAGTTACATTACTGTCTGTGCATCTCAGTTTGTTAACCGTTTCGAGGCCCTACCCACCAGTTCAGGGTCCAGCGACTTTGAATTGATTAGCAATGTCACTGTCCATCATATTGTCTTTTCTGAATTTTATGCAGACAGGCGAGACATATCTCTGTGTCAACAGTTTATTTATTGACGACTCTGGACCTCCCATGCTCTGACTCTATGTGATATTAATTATACAATGTCTTGGTGTGTGGATACATTAATGGAAGTCTATAAGCCTTCAGGCGAAAGTTCGAAATGTCATCTATTTTATGACGTAATGATATGTTTAATATAACGTTTGAACCCAGTTTTCAGATAGTCAGTGACGTAGTCGTGACATTTTTAATATTTTATATTACACAATACTGGGAGTTAAAAAATATACGACTTGCGAATGTCTGGGTGAATGTTCCTTATAAACGTATTTCTAAGACTTTGCAATAAACATATTCCCTAGGAACAAACCCGAATATGTTTATTAAGATCTTAATAGTTTTTTTTTAATTAACCAATCACTGGATTGTAGACACAGTCGTCATGTTCTCCTACCTCCCATTCACATGTCTGATTTTGTACCTTTTTACATGTACCATGATATTTCAGTAGGCAATCTGTGTTCTATCCAGGAAGTGTATATAGCAAACATTGTAGTTCTTTGTACGAATGGCTTCCTGTCTGTAAATATCACGAAACTTTGTATATTTGTTTGGTTTCTAGTTCACCTTTCCAATATTAAATGCAGAATAATCAAGCAACAAATAAAACATAATACGGAAACATATTACAAGAAAAAGCTACACCCATTTACGATAGAAGTAGACTTAATGTAAATTATATTCGACGAAAATAAATGTTAACATAACTGCAGGAATAAATAAAGGGCAAAACATTTATCATATATATTTTCATCCTCTTTTCACACCCTATCACGGGCTATCAGCACGGCACTTGCAATCGATAATAAAGCAGATTCGATGGGGTTTTTTTTCGAAATGGCATGCATGTTAATTTATTCGCATTTCCTCCTATTTAGAGTATAGTTTTTGTTTCACGCAAATATTGATCACTTGTCATATAAGTGGGAAGTTAAGCTAGCTTTAAAATCAGTTTTAACCCACATTTTTTTTCTTCAGAAAATGCCTGTTCCAAGTCAGGATTATGACGTCAGTTTTCCTGCCGTGACGTCACATTGATTGATCATGATATAGTGGAGCGTTTTGTTTTGTCAGGTTTTATGGTTTCCCCCATTTTTTAATTGACTATGGAATTCAGTGATTTTGTTAATACATTTTGTCAAAGGCAATAGCCCATGTATTTTTTAATATAAGGTAGGGTCTTCACTTTAGTCTTATTCACAAACAAATATCAATTCATTGAGTGGAGCGTTCCACGACCGA